TTATTTATTTATTTATTTATTGGTCAATTTATATATTTCCGCTTTTATTTTTAATTATGTCAGTTTCGGTCCTCCGTACTGCAGGATAATCACCCATTTATTCAAATCAGGTGTGTTTGAGCAGAGAGAAAAATAAAATATGCAGGGCTGCGGCCCTTTAAGTGTATTTATTTAATGGTCAATTTATATATTTCCGCTTTTGTTTTTAATTATGTCAGTTTCGGTCCTCCGTACAGCAGAAGTCTGATAATCACTCATTGAATCAATCAGGTGTGTTTGAGCAGAGAAAAGTAAAACATGCAGGTCTGCGGCCCCCCAGGACCAGGACTGCCCAGCCCTGGGGTAAAGACAATATGAAACAATACTTAAAAAAGAATGTGAAAACGTCCTAAAGATCTAAAAATCACCAGCTGTCTGTCTGCCTTCAGGTCTTCTTACACAACGTGACCCTACGTCGTGTCCCTCAGGTGTCTCAGTAATCTGTCCCATCGTCCTGGTAGTACTGCCCTCCTTCCTGGTACACTGGGTAGCCCTCATCCTGGTAATGTGGGATGTAGTCATGGCTGCCTCCTGCCCCGTTCTCATCAGCCAGCTCTTCAGCTTTGGGACAGTACTTGGCGTCGTAGATCTGCCGGCCCAGGCCGAAGTTCTGGCCGCTCTGATTGGCTCCTTGGCTGTAGCCCATCTGCAGGGACATGGTGCTGTTGTCACACTTGTCTGTGCCCAGCTTCTGGTCATAGATGGCCCGCCTCGTCCCAGGAGCCGTCATCCCAGACTGTGGCACAGAGAACAACAAACTTTATTCATCTTTTACCGTCTCCAGTCCTCTGAATAAAGTCTCAGCTGCAGGGTGGACCTGCTCTGAACCAGTTAACTTTATCTATCCTGATGCATCGCAGTAATCCAGGTAAAAAATCAAAAAGAAAAAAACTGTAGGTCTTCTGGACGGGTTCTAAGAACCCGTCCAGAAGACCTACACAATTTTTTTCTTTTTGACTTCATCTACGTAGAGTTCAGATCAYCTGGAGCAGTCTGTACCTGGTTGGCTCCTTTGTTGGTTCCCATCTGCAGACTGATGGTTGTGTTGTCCATGGGGGCCTGGATGTGAGCTTTGGGGTCGTATAAATGCCTCCTGGTGCCATATGCATTCATTCCTGCTTGACTGGCACACTTGTTGGTCCCCATCTACACACAAGCATCACAACACACAAACGTCACAACACACAAACGTCACAACACAAACTGGTTACAGGTTTTTCAGATGATCTGCAACAAGCTTCAAAGACCACCTCCATCCTGGTCACTCAGAGGGGGACTGAATCAGTCACACATGTGAGCTGATTTAAGTGTGCAGTAACACACTCTGGTGCACAGTGAATACACACTGTTTGTTGTTGTTGTTGTTTTCAAACCAGAGGTGGAAAACTGTTTTTCTTGATAACTGTGGACATGTTACCTGGATGGTTTATGATCTTAAGTCTTATTATCTCAGTATCATTGCAGCAGCATGAGGAAGCTCACCTGTATGGCAGGCCACTTTTACATTTAATCAGTTTCACCACAGTWATGTTCCAGGTTCTGAAATGGTTTCATGACTACACAGCTTAGTTTTTTTTAGTGAGAGATTCATTAAATTCAACTAAAACAAATTAAATTTAAGACTTTTTCATGTTACGTTACTTTAATTATTTTAAAAAAGCTTTTTCTCATTTAATAAATATTAGTAACTGTTGTGGAAATATTAATTTAACAAAGGCAGAAATACTTGGTCCATGGGATGATCAGGTGAGTTTTATTAAAGATCAGACTGTCCTGCTCTCTGTTCAGGCCTCATTTATACGGTTTAACAAACACATTATGTCATCTTAATAAAACAAGATTAAATAAATTCTGGGTCAAGAGAAAACAAAGATAAACAAGTGATATCTAAGAATGACTGTTGTTAGCAGATCTTGTTCTGACTTTAATCATTTTATCTGCAGATAAACTTAGGTCATTAAAGGATGTCATGATTTACTGGATTAAACCTAAAATTATTAATTTCTTTAGTCGAGGCCAAAGATCCTGAAGGTCAAACTACAGGAGTCCATCTGAGGGGCAGCTGTAGTTTAACAGACATTTAACCATGAAATGTTTAAGATGTTTATAAATGTTCAGCTCTTAACATTTGTTCTTAGAATTTATTTCATTTATCTTGAGATGTTTAAGTTAAAACTTCAGGTCACAGAATCACTTTAAAATTACTTTTCAGTAAGTTAAATGTCTGCTGGTTCAAATACAGAACTTTATTTTTGCTGGATTGTTAACAAATTATTTGTGAGTTAATATTGTCTTAATAGATGGACTTGCGACCTGRCCAGGGTGTACCCCGCCCCTCGCACTGTGACTGCTGGATATGGGCACCAGTGACCCACGCGACCCTGAAAAGGAAGAAGCGTGTACAGAAAATGGATGGATGGATGGATGGTATTGTCTTAATAAACAATGATTTAAAAAGTGAACCATTACAATTTATGTTAAATCTGATGTGTTTGCAAAGTTGGGTGCACCTGAGAAAAATGGTAGGCACACCAGTGCAACCAGTGTAAAAAGTTAGTCTAAAGTTAGTGCTGGGCGGTATACCGTTTTGTACCAAATACCGGTTTTTATTTTTGTTATAATATGAATATTTTGAATACCGGACATTCTGGTTTAAATAGCGGAACGTTTCGTCGCGGCCACCAGTGAACTGTTGTTTCCCGGGGGACATTTTTCCTTGCTGCACCGCTATGTGCGTTAG